TCCAAATTTCGCAATAAATTAATTTTTTCAATCTTCGAAAAGTTTGTATACTTTTTTAATAATATATTGAAACAAATATAATAAAAATAAAGTACATTGTGATGTTCTAATACATTTATTTTATTTGTAAATATTTTTTGTGTGTACAAATATATGATAAAACAATTGAAAAAACATATAAGCTTTTATTTGTCAATTATTGATTCAAGCTAGATAAATTAATTTTTAATTATATGTATAATTTGTTTCTTCCTTTCTCTTTCTCATTTTACTCATTTTTTAATTCTATGTTATATTAGTTTGTATTCTCTCACTTTCATATATGAATACGCGCGCGCGCGCTTGTGTATACACAGAGTATTTCTCTGAAATACCGCCTATTAATCGTACAGTGCTATTCTTAATAAAAAACTGAGTCGAAAACTATACCATTTTGCAATTTTCACAATAGTTAACGAGATATTAATTTTTAAACATTGCGAAATAAATCCGATGTATAAAACAATTTTAAGATATCTTTTACTATTCTTCGTGAAATATTTTAAAAATATTTCTTAAAGAACTCGAAAGATACTTTAGAGTTGTTTTACATGATTTTTAGACATTTTGCTCATGAGTAACTATTAAAAAAAACTATTGCGAAAATTGGTAAAGGACTTGGACTCAGCTTTTTATTAGAAGTAGCACTGTATGATTAATGGGCGTTATTTCAGAAACACACAAGAGTAATTATAAAGTATATTTTTACATAAAATATGAAGGTAATAATAAAAACATTATAATTTTAATTATGTGGAATTAAATTAACAGAATATTATGATACAATATAGTATTCTATAATACAAATTGTACTAAAGAATCATAAAATATAAATGAATTATATATAGAAATTAGGTATCACATTATAAAACAGTATATATATATATATGTACATGTCGATACACATATATTCATAGTTGTTTGAAATATAGGAATAATTAATGTTTATTCAGAATTTATTACTAAATTGATTTGCAAAAGTACCATAAAATATGAATTGCCAAAGAAAATGGTTCGAAAGCTCTTAAAGTTCCACTGAACTTGGAAATAAAATGCTGCATTATATCAATAATCAAGCTTTATTCTTTCATTCCTTAATTGAGTAATTATTAAAATCAAACGTATTATGTGGAATAAATTAATAATTATTAATCGATAAAATTACTAAGGGAATAAATTTGAACTTTGCAATGTATTTCTGCATTATCATCATCCTTTAGATATCAATCAACTGGATTTTGTACCACTATCAATATAAATTCCTTATCTGGTGCAACCATAATTTCATGCTTTTTGCTACGGATGCGCAGGAAAGTTAAATCATTGGTTGGATCTAGATCACGTACAACAGAGCGGGCTTTGTCTGATAATTGACTTATCAAACCTGCGTACTGAACTGTCGTAGTGTTGTCTAATGTTGATTTTATTGGAATACCTAAAAATCAAAGGGTAAAATTCAATGAGAATTTCCTCACAATCACAAATAGATGGCTTTATATGTTTTTTAAATGTAAAATAAAATACCTTCTGCGTTTACCACTATTGTTCCAACTACTCCCTTGTGAGATTGAATCCGTTTCATAGTTTCTTCGACCTCTTGCGCCTGAAAATGTACACATTTCGTAAACAATTATGCAGTCGTGCGAAATTACGGAATTATGTATACGTATGTGTACCATTTTGTAGAGAGAGAGAGAGAGACACACACTTGAGAGATCCCTCGAAAAACGATGCAATCGAAAAACTTAACAATATGTAACAAATTAAAATCAATTATTAGGCTTAGGATAATATGTGTGTCTACCGTGTTGCAGAATTTATCCTCTTTTCTCGTGACTTTCTTTAAGGAAAAAACGCCACTCTTTTATACTTTTATACTCGATTACATATACTTAAGGCATATATTTCATAAATATATTAAATGTACGTACATCGAAAGAAAAACCTGCGAAAGAGAGAGAGGACATGAGAGTCTTTTTCCTGTAATCGTAAAATGCGCAGCGCACTATCGCCCTCTGAAGAAGTGGATATCAACTACACTACGATATCCATTTCACTTTTTTGCGATGTATTTACCTGTGATGGAAATAAATCGTCGAAATCGTTGAAATTTCTATTAATTTGAAAGATTTTAGTGTATTATTTCAAAATGTGATAGCAAGACATTTTGCGGTTACGTTAAGGCCAGCACAGACTTTTACATAACGTATAATGCATAGAGCATAAGCGAATCAACTAATCAGAATTTTTCCTTTTCTCCCATTTTGTAGAAAAGAAAAATTTCGATTGGTTGATTCCCTTATGCACTATGTATTATGCTTTATTTAGCACACTGTGCTGCGTGCTGCGGCCATTACAGGAAAAAGGCCCCCCCCCCTCCTTCGCGGCCTCACCAACCAATGTCATCTCAGGTCGTAATCATACTACAGGCAGAGAGAAGCTTGAGAGCGATCATGCTAGAGCATTATAATATAGCTATTCGGATTCGCCATTTTTAGTCCCTTCCCCACTCTTTGTTCTTTCTTCAGTCTTCTTAGCGGCGGAGAAAAAGAGAAAGTAAAGGATTGAGAAAAGAAGCAAGAGAGAAAAGGATTAAAAATGGCGGATGCAAATACTCATATTAAAGTGCCTTAGTCCGGATCCTCATACGGGCAACAGCGTTTTGACACCGAACGCTGATTGGTGAAAAACTGGAGATAATTTTACACAACCAGTTTTTCACCAATCAGCTCTGTATCAAAACGCTGTTGTCTGTATAAGAACTTAGTCATACCAGGGATTTAGCTGTTACTTTAAAATTACTAGAATAATAAAGTACTGCGAACTGTCGCCATTTTGGCTGTAATGACGCGCGATTATTCAAAACTTTAGCCTCTTTTGCAGTTTTTGCAATTTTCAACACAGCAACCGGACATTTTAATAATCAAATCAGGTTCTTCTTTTTCTTCCAGATCCCTGTATGAATTTCCGACCTTTTAACAGAATTAGGTTAGAATAACATTTTGACGCTATTTTGGTTCTAAATGCTAATTCAGCGAATTTTCTCATCGCGGCATTTTGTTAATCTAATGATTTTACTATTATTTTATTTTGAAGCGTCTTTATGTTCGCAAAATGTGAATATTGAATTACGTAGTCTATATCCAAAATCCGGTCGGTAATGTCCACAATTTTTTGGTTGTATTCTTCGCTATATCCACGGTTCGTTAGACTATAGATTATGACGAACAATCAATTTGTCGGCGCTTGTAACGAGTTTTGTTACAAGACAATTTAGACTGGAATCAGACTACGCATTAAAGAATGAGATTGAAGATTGAAAGATTGATGTTTGACCAAATCAGAACAAAAGAAGTCATAATTCTTTTGTCCTTATTGGTAAAATTTCAAGTTTTAATCTTTAATCTCAATCTTCAATGCACAGTCTGATTTCGGTCTTAGGGGCTCCGTTTAATAAAAGGAACAGGGAACAGAGAATAGGAATTTCAACCTATCAGAAACTGTGTAATCCACAATGCATAATTTTTGATAAGTTGAAATTCTTGTTCTCTGTTCCCTTTATTGCGCGGAGCCCCTGAGGATTGCGAATTAAGGATTAGAATTTAATCAATGAAGTAGCTTTAATTTTAATCTGTTTTGTTCTAATTGGTTAAATTCTAATCCTATATATATATAATTTAAATAACTGCAATTCGTAAACAATTGGAGGACAAGGAGAAATATGAATTGTTTGTGATCATTTTTCAGCTAAATGTTTCTTTCGAGTAACTAATACAATAATTGATAAAAGTTGGTCACGTGACAAATTCAAATGTACTTTTCCGACGATGAAAACGCATTCCGTACGGGATAGGATTTAGAATAGAATAGGATTTGTAAGCATTTGTCATAGTTATAGTCGAACAACAAAGTCTGTGCCAACATATTTCGGTAGATTGAGATTATACTGGGATTCTAACTTCTCAGGCACAAATCGTCCTCCCAGATAGTGAAACTTTCCATCGAACTTAGACGCGCACATTTTTGGTGCCGTTAGAGATATCAACATTTGTGGCTTTATTCCACCATCCTCAGGTGGGCCTCTCTCGACATCCCAGCCCGATGGTATATCCACGCTGCAAATAGGCACGCTTGTACTTTTCAACATGTCGATGATATGAACGAAAGGCTCTCTCACTGGTGGTCTGAAACTGAATCCCAGAAGAGCATCCACTACGACCACATATTTGTGCAAAAAAACTGTCGAATTTGCAGTTGCTTCCTCTATGCGCTGATTTTCGAGCACAAGTACATCATTCTCGATGCATTGATGCAATAGCCTTTGGTATAGCTCATTATTTGTCCTCTTTGGATAGTAGATCTCTGGCGAGTATCCAAAGAGTTTCAGGTGCCTTGCGCAAACCAGGCCATCGCCACCGTTGTTGCCAGGCCCACAGCATACCAATACTCGGTTGGAAGAGGCGTCCTCCGAGTCCGACGACAACGGGTAAGACTTCGCAATTGCAACGGCGCAGCTTTGTCCAGCTAGCTCCATTAACTGATCTACACTAAATTTATACTTCTCAAACAGGTCTTTGTCAACGTTAATAGCTTCCGACTGATTTAAATATTTGACCATTCTGTTGTATTTTCTTCTTGCAAGCGGGACAAACGACGATTTGTCGATCACAGACCTGCAGACCTTGATTCCCTCGACGCTTCGCGATTTCAGAGTGTACGGTACGAATTGTAACATCTGTTGGCGAAATCGTTTGTGAGTTTATCTTTGGATGCAACCTTTGGTGAATTATCTATTAGTTGTCCGTCTTTTGCTTATCACCGTTTATTTCGCTGTCTACTGCTATAAGTAGTAAGTTCGTGCTGTTAAGCGATAACAACAACAACAACGCGTGGCATCATCTGGCGGAACTCTTCTGAAATTTCGCTCGATTTACGACTTACGTCTAGTCGACGATGTAAACGATGACAATGTTGAATGTAGAGTAGATAGATACTAGGTACTAGGTCGTCTTACTCATCAAAGGATGTAACGTTTATATCATATGTATGTACATACATACGCATGTACGAGAAATTTATTAACTTTACAAGAATGTCTATAAATGATAATCGGCTCTACGCGATAAATGACATATGTAACAGAATGTCTAAGGAATTTGTGACTGTCGATGGTAATATGAGGAAGATTCAGAAAGAGACTCTAACTCCTTACAAAGTGGCAACCGTTATTCTAATTAAAGAATACTGTAACGATACCACGAAAGGTATGCTTTTGTTATGCAACATTTCAATCTCACGTAGCTATATAAATTCATTATGCCAACTTTGTATTCCTTTGCACAAGCTTAAATCTTTGACGATTTCTAGTGATCATGGAGAGACGTAACTTTTGTTTAGCATCATTAAAGTTAATTCAGGTAACTATTTTACACATTAAGGAGAAAGAGAGAGACATATTTTGGATTGGACGTAAGATGATTATTTTTTAGTCTGCAGACATGGAGTTGGATGCCCTACTGAATATGTTGTACGAGCCGGAATATGCCTTACATCGATTTGCGGATCGACTGGAAATAAATCTGGATGCTATACATGAGAAAGGAATCGATCAGCTATTAGATTTATTTGATAATCTTCGCCGATTAATGGAATCTAAGGATCACGCGTTATCTTTACCAGCATTAAGTAGAAATTCTGTTCTTGGATTGTACGTTCGTAGGATGCTCATTTTCTTTGAAAAATTGGCCTTTGATCAAGTAGTCGCTCTCTATAACGATATGGAGAAATATGTTGTGAAAAAAATTGATAGCCTTGAGAATTCTGATATTTCAATCTCCAAGCAGGAGGATTTTTTTGGTCTGGATAAGTAAGTTTTAGAATAGAACATTATATATAATGTATATAAATAGTACATTACAAGTATTTATAAGTAGGATATTTTGTCAATGTCGATGCTTTTTACAGTAAAGCAAAAACAATTTGGGGTGGAAGACAAGCGGAATTACTCGTGGCACAACAAGCGCATGCTTTACAAACTGACGAGCATAAAGCACTGCCTCCAGTGGAGCTGCGAGCTCTCGTACAAGATCTTCTAAAGTCTAATCCTTACAATGCGGATGCAGTGAGTATGCCCAATAGAATATATATGCGAGTTATTAGATAAATGTGAAATAAATGTTTTTTTGCAGCTCAATAGATTTGCTTTTATTCCAGCATTACCTCAGTTATCTAAACTGCATCCGCGTCAACGATTTTTGTGGGGCGGTAGACAGTCTCTATCACTGTTTCGATAGGCTGGCACCTCTGGAGAACCGATCCACACCCGAGGATCGATCTCGTACCTTCCGTTACGCGGCACTCAACTTGGCTGTTTTACACGCCCAGTTTAACCATAAGTAATCTATTTTATATTCTACTTATCTCAAGCCTAAGCTCTCTTAACTCTTTGTCTACCCTCAATCTATTTGACAAAATTCAGCCTGTAGTTTATACGTATGTATGCATATACAGCGTTACAAATTTGTTTCAACCAAGTAATTCTCGTGGCTTTCTTGGAAAGGGAAGTAGCACAGTACGCTTTAAAAGAAGCTATTAAATTAGCTCAGGAGGCTGGAGACAACGTGTGTTTGCAGCTTGCGCATTCTTGGATGTCCTACTTAATCAGTAAAGAGAACAAAAAGTAAGTCAATATAATGGGAGATTCTTCATCTTTTCGTTACTTATATACACAGATATATTACAGTTAAAATATAATCTTTTTGGCATAATCTAAAATTACATTCTTAAACCGATCGATAGAGAGATCTTGATATACATATAAGAAGACATTGTGATCAAGATGTTGTATAAGTTTTCTTTTATTTAAGTAATTGACTTTTTGTTATTATTTTATTATACATACATATATACTATTGCGTTATTTCTTTCTACTTAGAGGATCTCTGATAGAACGCTCGGTTGGCAAAGCAAGTCTACTCGGAATTACACATACGACAGGCTTAAGTCTCATTTCACACGCGCATAGTTACGCTTTAGAAGCCAAGAATCCTTCTCAAGTATTCGAGGTGCGTAGTAAAGAGTAATTAATTAATCTGTGTGTGACACATCGTACACAAATTAAAAATTTACAATTTATATTCCATTAATATAGATATTGATGAAATCGGACATGCTAAACTGCCAGCATTCAATGTCCGACTTGATGTCTGTCACTTTTGCGGAGAAATCGGCGTTGTGGGCATACTATGGCAAAATGGAAATGGCCTCTCTTTGCGGCCAGTTACTACTTCTCCATAATACAGGTGATAAGAAACAGCACATGTTCAATGGACCATCCACGTGCCAGGCAATCGTTACTGTCGCTAATATGTTGATCGAGTTTGGTGAATATGCTCTCGCTGACATTGTACTGGCACATGCCAAGGAAAGATTTCCCAACAGTCCTTGTAACAAGGTGTGTTGTTTCACAAATGAAATATGAAAATTATTCAAATAAAATCTTTTCTCCATGAACAATTTCAGAATTTTGAAGAGTATTTGAAAAAGAAAAAAAGATTTTCTCTTTTTTTTTCTTTGATTTTCTATTCGTAATTCAGTTTATTCGTAGATCTGGATGTTGAGCGAACAGTTGCATATATTGACGCAACTGCTGCGACAAGAGAAATGGGGCGAGGCAGAAGCAGTAGCTAGGAATATCTCCAACTTGGATCAGCTGGAATCCAAACTTAGGTACAGTTTATTTTACGAGCGCGCACGTGTCAAAGAAAAATATATGATTGTTCTTCTGTATTTGTGTGAAAATTTGCATTCCTGCATTCTAGATCTGAAATTTCTAGGTTGATAGAAGTTTGCCTGGCAAAAGGCGATTTTCCGAAAGGATTAGAATACATTGGCGCTATCGAGAAGCATCCGCATGTGACTCCGCCATATGTGATACGTGCCGCGCTTCTTTCTAGCCAAATAACATGTGCCTCCTCCTTGCCAGACAACGGGACAGCAATCGCTACTAATTGCATAATGCGTCTTTGTTCAGCCTTGGAATTGGCTGCACAGAATCATTTGTCATACTACAAGGCACTTGTTAAGATGCACCTTGCCAATATACAAGTGAGTTCTAGTTCTCTTTATGAGAGAATACATGAGTGAATATAATTCAATTCGACTAAAATATATATATATCCCCAATATTATTGTATTAATCCAGTTGTTAATGGGTCTGCCTGTATTGGCTTTGAACTCGGTGAAGGACGCTATCCCCACAATCTTGGGTCACGGTGGCTGTTACGATCAAGGCAGGGCATTCATGTTGTATGGCAAATGTCTGATAGCTTCAGCGCCAGAGAAACCTTTTGAGGCTCGAAAAGAGATGATTCTCGGCGGAATAAAATCTCTGTCGAAGGCACAGGAGCTCTTCACAAAAGTTAATGCCATCGCCAAAGTCAAGAGTATCGTGCATCTGCAAGCAGTTTTTTATAACGAGATTAATCTCCTGCCTGAACGAAATCAGTGCGCTTTTGAGTTTCGCCAAATGGATGAACAATATCTAATGACTCCTATCGATCTACTTTTGTATTGAAATTGTAGTAAAAGTATGATTTTGTATAATGTATATGTTGTATACGTGGAAGAGAAACAATTTTTTGCATTTTAGATTAATTTGCTTGCCCCTACAACACAAAAATTGCAGCAACATTGCAGCGTTATTACAGCGATATTACTGCAAATTCTGTGCTGTATAGGTAGGTACTACAATGTATGTTTTATATTAATCTTTTAATGCAAAAGAGTAGGATTTGACAAATTTATCTTACATATATTTATTAAATTAATTATTAATTTGAGTTACCTCAAATGCAGTGAATTCGATTGGATGCATTCAGTCGGTGTACATAAAAATTATTGTATATAGATTAACGTAAAGACCTAAAAATATACATGTGTTTAAATATATTATATTATAAATGTAGAAACAAATCTTTAATACACTTTATTGTACGCTATTGGAACATTAAAAATGCATATTTTGTACGATTTATTGATTAAATGAAAATTAATCGATGGGATTAAGCACATATTAGTGAAAACTGAAAAGCGCTACATTGGTACCATTTGGTCAAAGTGATCATTCGTACTTGTAATATTTCTTACAATTTTTACAATTTATACAATTTCAAGCTGATTGCGCATCTATTATTATTCAGTCAGTTTTGAAACATTACTGTTCTAAATTGAAGCTGCAGGATTAGTAATATCACACGAATAAATTTAAAAAGCAATTTAATATTATTGCTGCAAATAAGCATCTTGCTGTTAATGAGCTTCAACAAATAATTGGCGCACAGTTAGCTTGAACTGGAAATTGTATAAATTCACAAGAAATATATGATTGGGCACAAAGAACGAAAAAACAGTCTCTGATCAAATACGGCGTTTTATAATTCCAAATATTTTTATTTCATTTTAACTCGAATTAAATCAGTAATGATACGCTCGCTGGACAACTACTAACGTGTCGAATCAAATTCGTTTAATTAATTAGAGTCTGCATGTAGACGTAGATATTTCGCATACACCCGGTACAGGTGTGTTACGTTAAATAAGAATGTTACGTTACCGAAATGGATCGGATATGTACCGCGCAAAAATATTGCTGATTGCTGATTGTGGTGCGCGTAACAAAGAAATGCACCATTGGAAAGTGGAAATACTGACAGAATCTGTCATAGTTATGTGTGGAATACGTATGAGTGTGAACGAGTGCTATGAGAATCGAAAGACTCGAAAGAAGTAAAAACGCGCCGATGCGATGTGACGTACGTACATACTACGTAGTACTTGGTGGCGCGGCGCGGCGCGGCGCGACGTAATGTGGCGTAATCAGGCGTAATGTGGTGTAGGGGCACGCACCAACGCACGGCACGAGGGCGGATTGAACAGCTGATCCTCGCCGCGCGTCTATTATGGTCTGTAAGTCTATCGCTATCGGTCGCGAGTTTTACGAGACCACGTCATTTGTCCCTCCTCAATTGACGATTGCCGTCAATTACTGTTTGCGTCGACGGTGATTGGATTCGAAAGACGAGTAGGCCAAAAAAAGACAGTGCGCATTTCTGTCATCTCCGAATCCTCATTCCTCCCCCGAGCCCGAGCCCGAGCCCGAACCCGAGCCCGAACTTCCCGAATCCGAACCCCGAGAGCTGTGCTCGGCTCGGTGGCCGCCGCATGAATTAACCCCTTCTCGCGACCCGCGACTACTCCCCGCCGCGACGTCCACTCTTTGGCTTGGACCGGAGAAATCTGAGAGCAGGGGAGAGCTCAGTCATCAGTCACCTTAAGTCGTCTATCGTCTGGTCCGATACGAGGTTCGCCCCCCGAGTTCGGGGACATCATCGGGACATTATTATGGCCAGTCCGGTGGTTGGCACTGGATATAATTTCAAAGTGGTTTTGCTCGGTGAGGGATGTGTCGGCAAGACCTCGGTCGCTCTTCGATATGTCGAGGACAAGTTCAACGACAAGCATATCACCACGCTACAGGTGAGTCCTCCTACTGTGAAATTTGCTTTTCCAGCCCCTTTTCACTTTTTAATCCTACTCGAATTTCTACATATGTACATATGTACCTACTTTTAAAAAGGAGCTTTCGAAATTGTTTCGCGGCGCACACGAGTCTCCTGGTAGGTTTTTTTTCTTATTCGAAGTCTGCAAAGAGAGAAAGCAAGTTGTATATACTAACTAATAATAAAAGAATTAGAAAAATATTGTAATTTCCGGCGTATATAATACTGCGATTGGGATTTGGGGAAGCCAATCTCTTCCTTAACCTAGCTCTTCCCTAACCTCTTTGACGCCTAGCGCTCGCGGGAAGGCATCTCGATACGTTTGCTTCGTATATGTTTCAGGCGTCGTTCCTGAATAAGAAATTGAATATCAATGGGAAAAGAGTCAACTTGGCGATATGGGACACTGCCGGGCAAGAAAAGTTTCACGCATTAGGACCAATTTATTACAGAATGTCCAATGGTGCCATTCTCGTGTACGACATTACGGATGAGGATACCTTTCAAAAGGTACGACTACAAATATCTATATATAAATATATCGTACAAAGTATTTTTGTATCAATGATGAATAATGAAATTGAACAACTTTTTATGCATGTTGTCAGGTAAAAAACTGGGTGAAGGAGCTTAAGAAGATGTTAGGTAGCGAAATTTGCTTAGTGATAGCAGGTAATAAAGTGGATCTGGAGAAGGACAGGAACGTTGCCACAGAGGAAGCTGAAGAGTAAGTTTGACGAATCTTCTCTCTTATATAGCATTATTATCAAGTAAATATAGCACATGACCACCAATGAATCTTCTTTCCTCAGGTATGCCAAACAAGTGGGAGCTATGCATTTTCATACATCAGCCAAGTTAAACCAGAACATTGAAGAGATGTTTCTAGACTTGACGCAACGCATGATGCAACGTGCGGATGAGGCTGAGCAAAAATCCACACTTACGAGGACCAATAGTACGCGTCGCAATGTCGTTATGGTCGAGGACGAGGCAGAACAAACTCAACCGAGTAGAAGTTCCTGCTGTGGTGGTGGTGGTAGTGGTAGTGGTGGCAGTGGCGGTGGAGGTGATAACGGTGGCTTTTCGTAGACCTTTAAAATCAATTTACTTTTAATTTCAGATACAAGGTCTAATTTCGGTAATTTACTAACTATGTACAGGATGGCGTATCTCTGATGTGACAAATTACTACTTGCAAATCGTAGTTTGTCGTATTACAAATGTTTCATCTTGTATATACACAAGGCCAAGAGTGTTAAGTATGTATGAGTGTGCACATGTATGCCTATATACATATATGTATATTTTTAGCTGCGGTAATTCTTGGATAGCAAAGATACTTGTATATTTGTGTGTGTATATATAAAAATTTATGTGTCACAATTACTTGTCTGTACCTATATATATATATAGGTACAGACAAGTAATTGTGACACATAAATTTTTCCGAGGCAGATTCCACATGCCATTTTGTTGAAGAGAGATGAATTGTTAAAATTTTCGATAAAGACTTTAGATTGCATGCATTATATGGCTGCAGCCTTTCATTGTCATTTGCGAACATCGTCGGATAAACCTCATTTTTCTGGACAGATTTGCCTCTCGATTAAACTTATCTTTTCAAGTAATTTCTCATTCAAAACAGTCGTGAAGCAGAATGTATAAGTAATGTCACTTCTTTCCAATGAATCGTCATTCCAGATGCTACTTTTTTTTCATAAATATATATGATTGCATGAGTGCAGTGTGTTTCTCTTTATTACTTAAATCACGCATTTATCATAAAGAAGAAGCAATGTCTGTAAACATATTAATCTAGCTGTTTCGAGTTTCTCAATCTTAGTGTAGTTGCCAAAATTTTGTAAAAGGCAAAAAGGTAAATGCTTCGTCCGAATCATCATCCCATTTTTCCAATGCCGTCTTTCGATATAAGTACATGTAATCTTTGCAATCCACAAATTGCTACAAACTGATTAACTAAAAGTTAGCTAATCATTAGACAGCGCGGTCTTGTCGCGAGACGAGGGCATTTTCAAGGGAGAACAGAAGAAGACTTCCAGCTTTTATCCAAAACGATAGTTTGGATTATTGTACATATTAAGTGCTGATAATTTTATTGCATTGATTTGGATCGTATATTAAGTAACACGCAATATGTTTATTCATCTCAAGTTATATAAATTAGCGATACAAGAGAGTTGTTATTTAAATTATTGTTACTGTAAGTTATTTTATGAACATAAAATGGTAACTCTTGTAATAACGTTACAGAGAAACGCTTCATTTAACATTTATCCACCTCGATCCCATCGTTACGAAAGTTAAGTTTTGCTTATGAATTATACACAAAACTGAAGACCTATAAATAAACATGCTTTATTACACGTTCTATTGACAACAACGAGGAATGCAATCGAGTCACATCAGTTCTATATAGGTCTGGGTTAGTCTTTTTTTTATGATAGAGAGCGGATTGAGACTGCCAAGCTCATACTTTATCCCAGTTACCTATAATGGCAGGACTATTTGAGGGGATATACAAATCTATGGTTTGCTACGCGAGAAATTGCCAAGTCTCGTATTCTTACACTTAGACGACGGACAAACTTACCGAGTCTTTATAGACAACACTTGGCATCTAATACATGTTATATTTTTCCCTTTTTTTTAATTCTCTTTCTTTCTTTAATTTCTTTTAGTTCTCGTTATAACATCAAGTGAAACTAATAACAAGATGATTGTTTTGAGATCATAATTAAAAACTATTATGAAATCACTAGAATTTACTCGCGCGCGCGCACAAATCTTCCTTATTACATCTATCTCGTCTCTTTTCGAGTTTACTTAAATACAGTATCACATATACTATAATTCGTTAGACCACAATTATTATTGAATCATGAATTTTTGTAATATATACAAATATATACTCTTTGCAAGAAATGCAAAGGATGCCAAATATTAAAATGATTTGTTGCAATTTTCCTATTGTAGATTTAAAATGTATATCAAAACATTTTATGAAAATTTCGTTTCTACAAGATCTTTAATTAACATGATTAATACAACACAATGCGATCGAACAACTTTAACAATTTTGATTTTAATGAAAAGAAATAATAAAAGACGATATTATTATGCAAATGTGAATCCATTAAAACGAAAATTATAATCTATTTGATAACAATTATTAATTTAATTTAAAGTTTTTAATTGAATAAAGAAAATAATAAGATAAAAATAACTAAAATCTTAAAAATTATACATGAAATGCGTGTGATTTATGTAATGTGCTAAAAGAAATTAATTCGTTGTTTGAAAGTTTTAATAATTATTAAGCGATTTTTTTTAATCTAAATAAAAATCGGGATAAATCACCGTTTATTTCTCGATATTCCAACGGAGGCATCCCGCTCGACATTTTTTTTTCATCCTCGAATATATTATTATATATTTTCTTAAGCGTTATTAAATAGATAAACATTATTTCTAGATACTCTTACATATATTCACTGTGTGACGTTCTCAATGTATCTTTGGTATTTGGTCATAATTTTTCTCTAAATATACAGACGTTTCTTGGAGCTGGTGTTCCAATATCGCACAGCTGGCATCAATTCGAACGTTTTATTCTTTCGTCCGAAAATTATTATACCTATTCGTATTAAAAAATCTTGTGCAAAATCACAATTGTGTAAATGAACAATTGAATGTTTCCTTCTATCCTCCTCTTTTTCTCTATCACGTAGAATATAAAAATATTTCGGCAAATGAAAATGTGGACGTGTAGTTAGTTGAATGTTACAATTAGGCCTTCGGTGCTGTCGCTTTTAAATAATAAATATCTTATCTTGATAGGTGAATAAAAAGTCTATAAATTGATTGATGGGTCCTATCGCAGAGAGAGACATTCCACGCGCTGGCGGTGCTCTAACTAGATTCGGTCCAAATACAACCGCGAGATTACTAGAAGTCATCTTGTTCAAGTCGCATCGGTCCATTACCTATATCAATAGCAAGAAAGATATAGATAAACGTAAAGATCGATTTTTCATCGGGACTGCGAATATTGGTTACGTACCCTCGATAAAAATTGTACGATGTATTTAAGAACTTGATAGTTATCTTCAGGGAGTTTCTCCAATATTAATATCTTAACTTTACGCGGACGTTCATCTTTTGATAATACTACAGTAAAACAAAAATAAAAAAGTTTAAAGAAATACATACTGTCGCTGTAATACTTGGAAAAACAAGAAAAGGAAGGAATATAATATATATATGCTCACTTTGGAATTGCGTGATTTCGTCGTACAATTCGTAAGTCATAAGAGGCTCGTCTAGCTCACGGAGAAAAGTCTTAAGTAAAACTGCGGCGATATGCGGGTCTCCTTGGAAATCAATGGGTAAACCTTGATTACAGCGATTCTGAAGTTCTTTGATTACCGCTACATTAGCCGATCTTCTGAATATCCCCTCTGTCTCTAGAGCTGAAACAACGATAAAACAATTGTCAATTGGAATATAACAAGATGAAGCTGATTATTTTTGTTGAAATATCGTACCGTCAGGGGTATCGAGAAATTCTACACACTGTCTTAGAATCGGTGGTATCGAATCGCCATTATTATTTTCTTTTATGAATTGCAGACTAGCACCGAACTGAGTTGTGCCAACTGGTGTGACTACCGCGCTTTGTGGTGGACTCGCCGGCAAATTTTTCTTATTTTTCATCATCAGCTGTTCATTGTGTCTGAAAAAAGCATCCCATGTGAACTACATCTGCGTGCAATTTGATTTGACATAAGATTTTATTCTTCTAAAATACTATTTTGCATAATAGCATAACTAAATTGCATACTCTATCACTTGAGGTGGTATAATTAGTTGATCCAGGTTAACGTATTGTGCTAATTCCTCCAGATAATTAACATACATCATTTTCCGTCCGAATTTTACACTGCAAAGATAAATATAATAAATTATGCAATATATTATATATGTAAGTACTCGAGAAAAGAGTATCCAACTCTTTCATTTAGAAAAGAAAAGGTTTTACATATACCTAATAGCTGGTTTAAATATTTGCCATACAATCCTAATAAAATTAGTCGGATGCACTAGATACAGAGCTTTGAGATTCTTCTTGTATTTTCTATCAAACGCCTTATACGCTTGCCACAACCAAGATAAGGGTGGCTTATTTTTCGACGTAAGGCCATAATGAAAGTAGACGAGACTATAATCTTGTTCCACGAACATATCCAAAGTATGAGTAAGGTACCTATAAGAAAGAAGTTTATTTTGTTTTATTTTATATATAT